GCACTTCGCTTTGCCGGTGCCGCCAGCAGGTATTGAGCTTTCTTTCTTCCACGCTCTCGTGGATGATATTCGGACCTGGAATTTTCCATTCACCGTACCGCACCCACGTTTGTCACCTGAACACGAAATCCTTTGCCCATGGGAAACCCGTCGCGAGTATTACGGCCGTATCGAAGGCTTGTCGCACCGGTTGTCATTAAGGCCGAATGTTGCGCCTCCTTACTCCATGACTTACAGCATACTATAAAAGGGGGGAGGAAGAATGTATCTTTCGACTAGCCCCCATAATGGCACTGGGATCTCTACCCCCAGGCAATGACTTCACAGCAGGTTTTCTTCTTGGTCCATGGGTAAGCATTTTATCTATTATCGTTACACTCGATGCTCAGAACTGCGCGCAGCTCGTTGGTCTTTGCGCTGACCTATACCTCCAGGGGATCCTGTCTGTTCAGGTTCGAACGGTTGTTGTTATCATATCACTAGGAGGAATAATCCCCGCGGCAGATTTTGAACTATTTCTCGTGGTACGGAAAGAACGACGGAGCGACAGTTCAAGCTTCCGTTGGGTTCCTTGCCTTGATCACGACGCTTAAGTCAATTCAGGTCTGCTACCGTCTCTTTTGAGGGCTCTTCCTTTAGCCTGACTCGTCGATATCTAGAGCTTGTACGTGCCATCGTCGAGGTTTACAAGGGAGACTAACACAAACTACGACTTGAAGCGCCATCGTTTGGGTCGGGTTAATCGAAAACTTTGCAGATATTGAAAGTGCTCGTCGAAATTTGTATGCTCCATCTCCTACAAGACTTGCTCTCCATGCCTGATTATTCTACTACAGATCTGGGGCATGGTACGAAGCTGGTCTGTCATACATCCCTCAGGTCTTCTCTCGTAATAATAATCCTCCGAGCAGGAAACCCGCTGATGGTCGCTCTCATCAGCTTTTACGTTCAATGCTATTTTTGCTATAGATTATGGGTTGTGTCAGACAGGTGGTGGGTAGTTCTGCCCATTGTCCTAGTGTGCGTATTTGCTATAGTCGCTGCTATGTTGACCGTAAGTGTACGGACATGCTAGGGTATCCAACTCTCACTGTTTTAGGTTCAAAGAATTGTTCATTTCCAGCCCAGCTTGCCTTACTGGAGTAAGCGCTTCTTCATATTTTCTGTGTGCCGGCTAATCTTTCATTATATCAGTGTCTGCTCATTTTGCAACTGTTTTCGGTAGGCATGATACACTTTGTATGCTCCTTTACTCACTCTGCCGTAGTCGCAGATGTGCTGCTGGCGGCAACAACTGCGTTTTTTCTTCTGAGGACACGGAGGAACGTTATGCCGCAGTCAGTCTCCTTGTCGAAGTTGCTTCTGATATATGAGCTGATGAGCACACATTAGAACTGTAGGCATGATTAACGCACTGGTACGACTCACCTTCCAAACAGCAATGCCTGCCGTTATATGGTGAGCAAGCTTAAAACGGTGCCTTGCCTGGGCCCTGGAATCATCCACACGTTTCAGTGCCCTTCTGACTCTGATCTGCGTCTACCTTCCGCTGGACAAACCTAGAGTCGCGAACACATTCAATCAGGCTCTACCCAAGTTGTACGCCATCAGTATGATGTGGACCCTCAACGCCCGAAAAGACATTCGTGTCTTTTACTACGGCGACTCGATCTCCAGGACGGCATCGCGGACCCAAAGGCCTACTATCACGGGTAGTTATTCAATTCAGGTTGCTACTCGTACCGAAGTCCTCCAGGTGAGATGTTCCTGCCGGTTGCTGAGGGATGTTTACTGACGTTGATCAGATATCGGACGCGGATACGGATACAGAGGCAACTACGAGAAAAACCGAGATTGATGACGGAGATTCGTACGTTCGAAAGGAGCATATTAGATGAATTGCAGTGTCTGAAGTAAATTATGGATATTAGGATGTCGAAGTTGCTGTGAAACACAGATTGGTGTGATGAATAGATAGCTACAGATTTGAGGGTACCTCAACATTGGCGTCTGTGCCAAGCTCTTCGATTGACGACTTTCTGGTCTGACGTTTGAGATATTGTTAAGGCGTGTTCCGCAGTGTGAAAAAGAGTTAGACTCACTGCTACCACATATCCTTCTCAGAACGGTTGTCTCCCACCCACTCTCTTCGTGTCTTAAACACCTCAACTGCTCTCTCAACCGGAAACAGAGGCTTCACGGCATGTATACCTTTGAAGGCCACATAAAACGAATATTCAGATGAAGGCGCGTAATCCTCTCCATTACCGGGTAAATACTGTCGTACTCGGCACTCGATGTGGCGCAGTAACCGCTACTTCTCACTGGGTATGGCGGTTGGAGGATAATTGTAAGATTCGAGGGTATGTCCATCCTATCAAAGCATCAGCCCATGAAACCCGCACACAAAAACAGACTGACCGATTCCGGGTCATAGCCCAACACCCACTCTCTAAGAGCTTCTGCGATACCTTGGGAGACATGGCCGCGTTGAAGCCCCTTGCGAAGCTGATACATGCTACGAGATTCTGTGAGCCGGATATGCGTGAAATTGGGAAAGAGTCGTGAAAAATCGAGGAATGACGGTAGCGATGATGGTATGCACAGATGCAGATGAGTGACCAACGGGAACTTGGATGAATCAAAAGGCAACGATGAAGGAAACGTCTTTGCCATCCCATGACGAATGAAGCTGAAGCTTGAAGAGGTGAGCTCTTTCAGTTTAGGGAACGCTTGTTGTTGGACGATGTCGAGGCGCGTGGTGCTGTCACGCACGGGCCAACCCGAATCATCCTAAAGTACGAAAGAGCTTCTATAATTCGGGCGCCACTCTCCTTAGAATCTGGCCCAGTAATGCCTGCTAGCGGAGTATCGCGTACTTCAGATTGATATCCCCTATCGTGTCTCTGCTCCTCGCCGGCTATTCCTGACAAATGCTCTTTGTCTTCTTTCGCCAGTCCTCTTCCTCTCCTGGTTTTACTTCGTTCTCTCGGTGACGACCGAGGTCGTAAATCATCTCATCATCATATACTTCCACGTTGTGCTTTGTTTCTACTTCATGTGGGGAGGAATCGGAAATCAAAAGCCGTGAGATGTGACTTGTCCAGTAAGATTCCAGATGGTTGACCAGCTGCACAAAGCCGCTGAGACCCGTGACGATGTAATGCCCTCAGAAGGTCTGGAAAAATCGAGATTCTGGCTCGCGCTAGCCATGGAGATGATTGTATTGAAGATAAAACGGACGGATTTCATTACTCTCCAGAGCAAGAAAGAGAGTTTGGTCGTCAAGCATAGCCTCCGGATGTGGCTTGATGATGGCAAGAGGGCAGTTGCGCGGCCCAGTCCTGATCAGGCAATGAACACCGTGGGAAATATCGCTACCTACCAAACATTGTTGTTCAAGTACTCTACAGTATCACAAACAAGCTCCTTGAATTGCCCTCAATTGATACCAAAGGACTGGGCAACGTGACTCAAACGATGGCCCAGTTCATCTAACCGATTGTCTTGTGTTGGTGTTGTTACCGGCGTAAGCCCGAGGTCCTGGTCCTCCATGAAAACTCCCATCATCCTGCAGGACAATATATACACTGGATATTTCACGTCATCAGACGAAATCATAGGAGATGGATGGGAACAGATACTCACGATCTGTTGCGCTCTGTGCCCCTTCCTTTATATCCTTTTTGGAAGCACCAACGAGGCAGGTCATGCATTCAGCGTACGCCTTTCCGTTATCGTTGGAACAAATGCACCCTACGTCCGACACGGTGCAGGCCTAACAACCAAAATTAAAGAGAGGAATGGGAAATAGGAAATGATAGTACTCACACCAAGTTTATCGACTATCGTGCACTGATTTTCAAGTTGGCATGTTGCAACCACTAATTCGACTGAGTCCGAGTCGTCAAGTGGGAGCTCAAAGGCGTGCCCCATCCGAGGCACGGCAGAGGAGAGCACTAAACATTGTACGAGTCAGCCTCAGGCTGAGGGAGCGTTTGTGACTTGAGAAGAGACTCACCTCCCTGAACGATCAAGAGAACCGAGAACACGCTGATGAGGGAATGGCTGATGAGCATTGCGGGTGGGTGATGCAGAATACCGGCCCAATTGATACAGCCTTATGTATATTCTGGTGTGCCAAGGCCGTGTACTTATAACGAAAGGCTTGCCGTGGTATCACGCTGGCACACCACGGAAAGTACCCTTGGTACAACGATTGAATTCTGCAGAACATCAAGACTAGTACATTTGGGAACACAGCTGGCGAGATTGACGCTCGCAACTGTATTGCTTTCATGGAACCAAGGAATCTGCTTTTTGGAGTACTGAACTAGTGTTCTATGATCTGGTATCTTGGCACCATTATGTTGCATCGTACTCTTGGGTAAGATATTGATATCAAATATATACCAAGTAGGCATGGGGTAACGGGTTTGACTGAATGAATGAAAATTCCGTTTTTAGTATTCACGCCCTTTAGGGTATTGGTATTGGTACCGGCACCAGTTCCCAATGGTGCCAGTACCAATACCAATACCAATTAGGAATGGCCGGGTCCACAGTCCTGACATGGCGTGCCATATGCTGTGGAGGTGTGTGCACACAATCTGTGGCTATCCAACACTGCGGTGTGAGTTGTAGGTCGGTTCCATAAACTAATTCTGTCGTCGTCTTGTATCGTAATATCGTAATGTAATCTATCTGTTCGTTAAGTGATGGTGCTTTTGATGGTGCTTTGGTGCGAGTGAAACTGAGTTTTCTTAGGCGAGAGGAATTGGTGGCCACTTCCGTGACACGTAGGCATCTAGCATGGGTAGTGTTGCGTGTGGATTGGGGGGAACGTAGACGGTAGATGAAGATGTAATATATTGAAAGGCCTAGACCCTACATTGCACAGATAAACGTGCATTATGCATGTAATGGCATTGGGCACCCGGTATCGTGACCTGGAAAAATATGTGATTCTGTGATTTCAGAAGAAACCAAAATCAGACCAACTGCCCCAGAGAGGCTCGAACTCTCGACCTTCCGATATCAATACATAACAGTCGGACGCTGTAACCAACTCAGCCATGGGGCATATAAGTTTATCCTTCAATTAGTATCCTATGGTACATTTGAAAAGAGAAAGCACTAATGAAGCACATGCATTATCGCAATTTGACCTTGAAAGTGAGGTCGTGTGGATTTCTTTACATGGTCATTCATCTCAGATATAATTTCGTGGTAAATAGGTCGTAGGTGACTCCTAACTCATGTTTGTGTGCATAAATCTAATTTTCTTTTGCTCATCGCTTCTTTTGCTGTCTTCATGATAGCATGGTGCATGTCATCGACTGAGGAAATCTAGCTCCCTTATGGTCCATGGATAAGATCTAATATTATCGCCATTCTTCCCCTCCCTCTGAGGATATCTCTTCATTTCTGGTAGCTCTGAATGTTGTTACCACCTGCGACAGTGGACAAGCGGTATCTAAAAGAGCCTGTTTCCACAGACGGAGAAGCATATGATTAATTGTAAGACTCATAATTGCTAGCCTCAACCAAGGATCCTGTATATAACACAGCAGCTAAAGTATGTCCAGTTGAACAGACTTCCACGTTCCAACGTACGAGAAGTTGATGAGAAGCACCATAACTGGGAGGGAGCAGAGTACGCTGTCGACATTGAACATGCAAAAGTATACAGAGCAAGTTAGGATACTCACGTAATGGAGTACAGCACCGAACACTCCTGTCATGCCTGAGTTTCTGCCCGAAGGAAATGCAAAGTGGGGCTGAAAATATTTCCTTATACAGTTTCTTTCTAGTCAGAAAACAAATTCTCCCTGCCAAAATCTGATTTTCGACAGACGGAAATCCGTCTAAGGAAACTTTTTCAGTTCCGCAATACATTTCCGTCAGATTTCCTTTGTGCCGAAATTGTTGGGGGCTAGGAGTGGAACCTTGAAAGATGAGAGGCATGATAGGCTTGGGACCGTACTGAAGCAGACTCATACTTCGGAAGAAGAGTGATTTCATACCTCCCAATACCTTGAATACATGGTATGTCGCAGCGATGAATATGATCGCCTCAAATATAATGGTTGGTGTACTGAAGGACAGCGGTTACATAGCCCACAATACTTATGTGATATGACACTTACATGTATAGCACACCTGCTATAGTACGACCTGTACCCCTCAGAAAAGTTACTGTAAGCACAATTGTTGCAGCCATGCTGCAGGCAAGCAGGCCAAAGAATGTCCACAAGATCCGCTGCTGTCCGGTCATTATGGCAAAGACTGGGAGGACAAGGATGCTTTTAATGACAAGGAGCTGTATTGTCACTGCAGATTATACGACAGTTTCGTATTTCTCAAAATGCTTCACCAATGCGCCCCACCTGCCTCCATGCCACGTCGACATATCCTTCCACTCCTCGCTATCCGCGCCATATACCAGGCGTACCCACAAGACCCATGCGGCAACCGTGAAATCCGCATATGAAAGTACGTCTCCCATCACATACTTGTCTCCCTTCCCATACCACGCGTCCACCTTTCCAAAATCAGCCTTCAACTTCGCCCACTCCCTTACCTTATCCTCACCCTTCGGCCTCGCATCCTCCAGTTTCTTACCAAAAACGTTGGCCTCCCTTGTCCTCCTGAAATACTCCTCGCTGTAGGGATTCAAAATAAAATTGGTCTGGATGAGCGCGAAGTGCCAAAGAGCGCCGAGGCGGGACTCGAACGCCTCGTTGAAGGCGTAGTGGAGCGCACTGGTGCCCGCGGGGATGACGGTGGGTGTCTCGGGGTAGGTTTTGTCGAGATATCGGGTGATGGCTGCTGAGTCGGAGACAAGGGCGCCGGTGGAGGCATCGTGGAGAAGAGGGCACGTGTAGTGGGGTGTTACGCCGTCATCCTTGGTGGCACTGGCTTGGGCGCCGAGCTTCTTGTACAGGGCTTCGATGTCAGGGTACTCAACCCATTCAGTGCGGTATGGAAGGCCTTTATGGTTGAGTACGTATCTAGATGAAGTGATGAGCGATAGGTACTATATGCGGGGGATAAGACGTACCTGACTTTCCAGATGTTAGGCGACCACGCATTGGTGGGGAGAGTCGACGGGAGATCGTAAAGGGTAAGAGAGGTGGACATTTTGGACGATTGGCCTGATCTGGAGGATTGGTAGATATATTCAAAGGCTGTCGAAGGCTGTGGGATTGATTATCGAGCATGAGCTCACGATTTCTCGTCACTGGGTATTTTGGTAGTGTCATGTGGGAAAGCTGACTGATGAATAGAAGTTACTAACTCATAAGGAGTTCTCTCGGACCCCCGTCAACGAAAGATTTGAAAGCAAAACGTGACTAGGCTGGTGACCGTCTCTCTCACTTGCCTGAGTTGTTGCAGGTAACAAATCTGATCCGTATAAAGTGGTGGGAGACGATTATACGACCGTGTCGATTTCCTTCCCCTTCCAACGACCAAGGGAGGGAATTGGAGAGAACGACTGTTTCGAAAGTGGATGTGACCATCACTACTTACGAAAACAGCGATGAAATTTGAAATTACATACGGAGTTCTGCTGCCGTTTGCCTTAGAACCCACATAGATCGACATCTAATTTCAGAAGACACGAATCCGAGAGTGTGTGAACCGAAAGGAGCGTATATCACAATTGATCATTCCCTCTAAATCTGATCATCAGTTCGGAGAACTGTTGGGAAATGTCATGAATAATCTTTACCGATACCACTGACATGTACCCAGCACTGGCGCGTCCGTGGCAGCCCGTGAGTTTGTCGCAGGTGTTACTCGGAAGATGTGATGGCACTGATGAAGCCACACCCAAGTCCATACATCAAGGAAATGGGGTTCTCAGATTGCAGCCACGTCGGACAGTCTCTTGTCACTGGATATGGAAATGTCATGGGTGTCGGAGCGCTGGTTGTTCTGTACGCTAAGTTCGATGGGGGTAGATCTCCGCTAGGAAATTATAAGCGGAAGGAGCAGCAAACATGATATTCGAGACCCACGTTCGCTCTGAGGTAATAGCTATCACCATCGCTGTTGTCGATCTGAGAAAAGGGGAGTCAGTTGACTGATGATAACACGGGGACTAGGAAGTTCAACGCACGGTATAGTGTTTAGAGTGAGACGGCGCGCTGCGATACCCCTCGGCAAGCAAAACCCATTCTAGTGACACCATAGCGGCACGACGCGCTTGGTGCTTTACCATTCCGAACTGGATCCTGTCGCCACTCGCCCAATTCAGATAGCCAGGGAATACGCAGTATTTGCATGTCTTAGTGGCTTGCGTGTTGTTTGGTAAATTCCCCACTGACGTGTAATTCCATCCATACAAATGTTCATCGTTTGTTGTGTCAGGATGATAGGGAAACTGTGTGGAAAGTACAATAGTATCCTGCGCTAGAACATCAAAGACCTTCGAGGGAATCGTACACGACATAGGACTCACCTCTGGCGCACCGCATCGTAAAAGTATCTCGTTGACTTTAATGCGCCTCGCGCTCGGAGAAGAAGATTGATCGCTGTAGAAATGATTGAGGTTTATGTTCATCGGTATCTATCACCCGGAGATACGAGAAGTTTAATGGCCATCGCAATTTATTTGCTGCTTTGGTTTCATTCCTATTCATAAGCCTTCAGCTTCAGACGACATTTTTGACAACTACGACTCACCGCACAGATGCGTAACCAGCTGCCTCGCTTGGCCGGAAAGAGATATGGTATAATTGCGAGGATCGATCTGCGCAGGTCGATTTTAGCACGAAAGCATTCAGCCAGAGAGGACTGAAGGTTTGAACGACTCACCTAGGATTGCAAACTCCCAACAACCAGACGCCCACTAACGAATAATTGACCGGTTCAGAGCTGCGGATTTTGTGCTGGCTCTTAACGCCATCAGGTGCAACGATAGCACACGTTGTATGGTAGTAGAATATGGTCTGTGACGCGACAAGGCAAGGCAAAGAAGGACAGCGGAGATCGTGATGTTAAGCGATCAAAAGGTACTCCTTTTCCCACCACCATCAATCTTTGGCCTTTCTCCTGTTCACCACGTCAACGGAACAATGATAGAACTTTTCTCTCATTAATTTCATTAACGTCGTTCGGAAATCTTCGAACAATCCGGACGAAGAAATTTGAAAGAGATGGTTGAGCCTGCCAACTTGGCATCCATTTTGTCAACGGTTCTCATCGATGGCCTAGAGACTCTGAATGCCAGTGTGAATTTCACAGAACGTTCGTACCACATCATTCTAGGACATGTATCCGTGCTTAATCCCCCCCCTCAGGATGGCGCATTTCTCCAAAACGCACGTTCGTCTGGATCGCCAGCCGGGACAATAATAACATGTCTCGACGTTCCCGCTGTCATTCTGTTCCTGCCGCTGCCTTCGGGTATCCGCAGATACTTAGCTCATCCAAATCGATCTCTCGCCTTTTGTCTTCTGTAGATGTGCGGAAAACAATCCCATTTCATTCACACCGTCACCCCTTTTTTCCGACACCCTCGTTCGTCTGCCAACCGACTCTCGAGCTCGGAGCCATACGTGGATACGGCATACTAAGACTTGTTACACTAAACAATGACGATTGACCAATGTATCTTATCAAGTTCTTCCTGCCGATGATCGTTCGCTAACTGTTGCTTTGCAGAGTACCCATCACGACTTCGACGGCAGACCAGCCGTGAAACCCGATTCGCAGGAAGCTCTTCTCCGACCAGAGCGTCCAAATAAGCACCAGAAAAAGTCGATACCGTTCCGTCACGAAGAAGCAAACGGTGATTGGACAGAAAATCGGTAACCCCGGGATGGCCCGTGGACTCGTTCGTTTGCTCTTTGGATATCCTGACAGCTTCTTCCATGCATGGGAGGCTACTAATCGCGTCGTTTCTGGGGTGCGTTCGTCTCGGGCTTGGTATATGTCAGAGGTGGTGCCAACAAGTCTCCACACCGCGTGCATGGCACGAAGAACGGGCTCTTCGCAAGTCAGTTTTTTTTCCCTAGGCTGCACTATCGTAGGTCACCTAACATCTTTATCCCACTAAGACCTCAAGACCTACGA